TGATTGATCTCTTGGCTTCTATACACACAACCTCAAGTTCACTTGGCTTCTCTTCTCCTGGTCGAAATTTCTATGATAAATCATTTGGCCAACAACATAAACAGTGTTTGAAGAAGAAGAGGACATCATTTTCAGTATTGTCCTCTTCTTCTTCTTCCTTGATGCTTTCTTCCAGCTTTCCGAGTGAAGACCGTCCGTTTGGAAAAAGGGTTTTTCGTGAAGTAGTCATCGGTTAGTTGTATCTTGGAGCCATAATCTTACTTTTAATATTTTTTTTCGTTAGCAACACAAAAATATTATTGTTTTGATGTTTGTGTTAACTAGTTATGATGTTTATAACTTAAAAACCCACAAAAATATTATTGTTTTGATGTTTGTGTTAACTAGTTATGATGTTTATAACTTAAAAACCCACAAAAATATTATTGTTTTGATGTTTGTGTTAACTAGTTATGATGTTTATAACTTAAAAACCCTAAATATTATAAATGGTGTTTAATTATGTTATACCGCCACAAAACGGCATTAGCCTAAGTTTGAGCCCAATGGATGAGGTTTGATGAATGTTAGAGAGAGAGAAAAAGAGAGGGACAAAGAGAAAGTGGTAAAGCGTAAGCGTGGTAAAGCGTAAGCATGATGGTCCCAATGTAAGGGGATTGTTTTGTACGAAGACAGCGAGGGAAGAAAGCGAAATGGGCATAATCATCATCGACCCATTTTTCCATTATTCATTTATCCCATCAGTTTTTGTCCAATGTTTTTGCAGAAAGTTCAAAGAATCATACCAAATTTTGACGCAACAAAATGATAGAATCGTAATGTGGGACCTGATTTGTGGGTAGGATTTCTCATTTTTATATCCGTAGTTTCGACAATACAATATCAAACTAACGTAATATTCTGTTTATGTAAGCTTCAACCCATCACATACAATTTTCATAAAATTTTAGACTTTTATAGTTTCCCAGATTTTTGTATATACAAACTCCTGAAAATCTTTTGTAGTGACGCTTCACACATAAAGATATCGGATATGATGCTTTATTTTCAGGTTGGGTATGATTTATCAAGCAACTTGGTCTTCGTTGGTGTATGATTTGATATGAACGTGATAAATAAATAAGTTCACTAAGCCGACAAAATGATGATAACTCAGTGACCATGTATTTGTTTGTCTTATTCCTTACATAACATCTATAATCGTATTTGGCCCATATTTTTCTGCACAGTTGATTACTGGACTAAAGTATCTATATTAAATATGATCTTCTTCCTCGAAAATTCCAACTCCTTAAATCTGTATTATATAGAGTGTGTACATGTATTCTTAATCTCTCGGAGACCTGGCTTTAACGCCCAGGCATAATTATGCAATCTTCCACAAGACATCATTAACTCTTATACGGTGCCTGGACTTCTACAAGACATCATTAACTCTTAGTAAAACACCAAAAATTCATATTTGATCATTTAAACACCAAAAAGTTATCTTTCTCTGCTAGTATGTTGGGATGTTAGGAAAAAGTCATCTTTCTCCGCTGATGTTATTATTGATGATTGATGATTTGATGATTTGATTATTTGCGCATATCACATCTTTTAATTGTATTTATTGATCTCTTGATTACACTGACCGATGTATACTATAAACGCATTTATTGATATTAGTATTTCAAAATAAATTAACTCAAAATTCTGTACTCAAATTGCACAAACACTGTTTTACTTTTACACAACCATTTTCTCACATCATCTAGCTCATTCTTTTTCTCTCTTTTTATTGTTTGTTTTTTAGAGATTCTTGCTATTTTGTGTGAGCCAAATTGTAAATGAGTAACATTCAAAGTAAGCTTAAAAGAAGTTTTAACAAAACCATGGTCATTTAGACTTTGAAGTTTCCCATCCAGAAAATTTTGTTCTTAACCCTTTAAAGTTTAATAGAGAAATTCACTCGCATAAGGCTTTAATTGTAGATATTACTTTGATGTTTTGAAATTTATATGTCTCAGCCGACTATCTTTAATAACATTCAAATGTGGATAAACCGGCAAAATATTATAAAACCAAAACAAAAGTATTAGTCAACCCGAAATTTGAAACCTGACAAAATATTAAAAAAACAGACAAGAAAATATTACTCTCTTGTCTAATGCTATATTCTTGTTTCTTAGTTATATACTGGGATTGTAAATTCCCATTCCTGATATAAGGAAGGACCATCCAAGGTATGTGGTATTAAATTAAACATTCTCTTGTTTGGTATCATTCCTATATCATTCTCTTATCAAATAAGAGTAGGTTAAACATCCAAACATATTTCCTATATATTGTCCTCTCAAACACATTCAAGTATTCTTGTCATTTAATTCTATAAATAGCTATATCTTCTCAATATTTCTGTGTGAATCTCCTTCAAAATGTTTGCCTTTTTCCACCTTAACTTCGACTTGTTTTTCTTCCTTTGTTTCATACTTCCATTGGTATCTTTTTTTTCTTTATGGTTTTATATTTTAATATTCTCTATATTCAGAATTATTTGATGTTTAAAGTTTTTGCACACAATGATTTATTTAATTTTTTTTCTACATTAAAAATATTATTTATAATTTATTTAAATATAATTCAGTCAATAAAAAAGTAATTTGCAGAATATAAAAATAAAAAATAATAAAAACTTTATTAAATTTTACATTGAAAAGTGAAAACATAAAATAATTCTGAACGAAAAAATCTCATAAAATATCAAATAATTTTGAACAGCGGAAACAATATTTTTTTTTGTTTGTTTTAAGCAGTCTAGCATTTACTCATGTATCCGATAGACTGACACTTCAATGTTTTTGTTTTTTTGGTTAAAGACTGTCTTCAATGATTCATTTATTGTTCTACTTATTCAGCAGCTTTAAAAGCAAAAACAAATGCTTTGATCTCGTTATATTTGTTAAAACATATTTGATCCCGTTTATTGCTTGCGACTTTTCTTTAGTCTTCGGTTTCGCGCAATAAGGTGTTTTTATCCTTTTGGTGCAGCTATCATTCATTACTTTCCCAAATATTTGTTTAGGATTAAGCTCAAATTAACAATATAGCTGCAAGTACGTGATAAGTTAATGAGTATTGATGACTTTCCGTTTATAGTTGATGAATTGATGAACGATAATCGATAAATCACATTTATTGTAGCTCCGAACAATAATTCGAAATTTACTTTTATTGTTGACTTTAGAGTTTTATACTACTCCCTCCGTTTCATAAAGAGTATCGTTTTTAAAGTTTTATTTTTGTTTCACAAAGAGTGTCGTTTTATATTTTCAATGCAGAATTTTAAATAATTTTCCAATTTTGACCCTATTAATTTAATGTATTAATTAGAAAAAAAAAGTTATTTAATATATTAATAAAGAATAAGATAGTATTTTTAATAGTTTTCTTAATAAGTGTGAAAAATGTCCTGACACTTTTTGTTAGAGGAGAGAGTATTAGGGTGGATATAAATATTTGATGGCTAAACTGCAATACCGCATTAAAATTATGTATAGCTCGACACGCAAAGATCAGCCCAAAACTTTTTATCGACCATTTAAAAATATGGTTTCTTGTGTTTTTTTCTTCCTTTTCTTTTGACGTCAAATTATGGTTTCCTGTTATGTGAAGACTGTGTAGTAAAGAGATTCTTATTAATATTATAAAATATTATCTCATTAACAGATGAAGATGAATATATATATGTTTTCCATGAATATATACATATATATATATACACTGATTTTCAGGTTCTAAATTTATAGCAATAAAGTTAAATATCTATGTATACTGCTTATCCTTTCGAACGATTTTTTGTTTTTGTTTTTTATGTCTTGACTAATATTTTTTGTTTTTGTTTTTTATGTCTTGACTAATAAACTATACTCCATGCATACTTCTCTCCTCACTAATTAGTAATTACTAGTACTACACATGCCAGCAAAATTTAGAGGACTAAACAAAGACTTTACAACGCAGAGTTTTATTTATATGCAGCTGTCATGACCCGGATTTTATATGTAAAAAAAAAGTTGTTCCATTGTTGGTTATAGAAGTTATTTTTATAGTTTTGATAAAGTTTAAATTATAGTTCATATATAGGTTTAGTTAACATAGTTAATTATAGCTTTTAGCATGTTGTGTTTTTTTTTTTTAGTATGTGTGAAAGCTGTATGATTGTTTCCAAATCGCCTATATTGACTTTTCGTCCTCAAGATTTTTTAAAGTACTGGGTTTATTTCTTTTCTTTTTTCTCTTAGCCGGATAAAAAAGATAGAAATGGGTTTGCCTTCTTCTCTTAAGCCATGCCTTTTTTTGTTCTTCCTCTGTATTCTCAGTGTATCCACCATCAACTCAACGGCATTAAAAAAAGAAACTGTGTTTTTTGGCGGGAAATTTCCAGCTTTGTACGTTATTGGGGATTCATTGGTTGATTCAGGAAACAATAATCATCTTGAGACGAGGGTCAGAGCGAATTTTACACCTTATGGTTCTGTCTTTGAAGGAGGCAAACCCACCGGCCGTTTCAGCGATGGCAAAACAACTGCTGATTACATAGGTAAGAACGAAAACAAGTTGCATTTCTCTCTTTTAGGGAAGATTTATGTTTTAAATGTTTTAATTGGTTAATATTTTGTTAAATAATTACGCAAATATTGATAAGGAAATATTTCCTTTTTGGGAATCGTATGGAAAACTGTATAATCTGGTTGGTAATTTCATGTAAATCGTATATACAAAATAACAAAAGATAGTGAAAGTTAAGAAAAATAAATTATTTCAAATATAGATCTGAGAATAGAATAATATTTGTTTGCTAAATTTAAATAATGAAGATTTGAAACCTTTTTTAATTGTCTTGTTATGTTTTGTTTTCCTTTCCAGCTATTTATTATGGGCTTCCTTTAGTTCCTGCTTATTTGGGATTATCGGAAGATCAGAAGAACAATATAACAACTGGTATTAATTATGCTTCTGCTAGCTGCGGGATTTTTCCGGATACAGGAAAGCCATTGGTAAGTTTCAATATTTCTACAAAATCTTTGTAAATTTGGTTTGGAAAAATTTAATGGGTTTTATTTGATTCTTTGTATGAACAAGGGAAAATGTCTCTCGTTGAGTGTCCAAGTCGATCTATTCAATGAGACCATCGAGAAGAATCTGAAGAAAACGTTTAAGACGCAGTCAGAGCTTAGTAAACACTTGGCTGAATCGTTGTTCATGACCGCGATAGGAGTTAACGACTACGCTTTCTTCTATAATAAGACAACCGATGCAAATGAGTTTGCAAACAAACTTCTTCATGAGTTCTTGATACAAATTCAGGTAAAAAAAAATCTTAGAGTTTACATGAATTATTACTTGGCCACTTTACATTATTTAGTTTGAGGTATTAGTGTTTTTTTTTTTTGAAAAAAAGATAATAATGTTTATTTCAGATAAACTGAATGAACCAAACATATAATCCAATCCGAAAACCAAGATGAGTCCTAGTTGAATTGTTAACCACTTTCGATGAACTAAAACCAAAACGAAACATTATTCGTTAAAATGCTTAAAACTACTTTTGAATAAAAGATAATCAAAGCTAAACCGTAAGAACCGATCTTTAGTAGGTTCATTTTTGGCAATTACATAACAGAAAAACCTAAACCAAATAAGTCAATGGATTAGTCTGAGTTTCGACTTAAAGTTTTTTCAGGGTTGATCAAGATACATTCTACTTAAGACTGAATATTTTTGTTGCAGAGATTGCATGGGTTAGGAGCAAGGAAGTTCTTTATCAACAACGTTAAACCATTAGGATGCTACCCAAATATAGTAGCTCATACCGTGCCACGTGGAAGCTGCAACGATCAGTTAAACCTTGCCATTGCTATTTTCAACGTCAAGCTAAGAAGAAGCCTGTCTCATATGAAGCAGAAATTCTCCAACACTTCCTTCTTATACTCAGATTACTTCAACTTCATGTTAGGACTTCGAGGACCTTCGAGCAATCAAGCTGGTTCGAACCTAATGGACACGACAAGCCCATGTTGTCCTAGCGTTTATGATGGAGGTTTAACCACGTCTTGCAGGCCAAATTCAAGCTCGTGTAAGATGCCAGATACACATGTTTTCTTTGATCCATTTCATCCGACTCAATTGGCTAATTTCATGTACGCCATTGAGTGCTTCCATGCAAGAACAGTTTGCCATGTGGTGAGAGAAAAGTGATTAACTTAACTTCACAACAGTCTTAAGATAACACAAGTTTAGTTATTGTGAGAGAAAAGAGATTCATTGCTATCATGATCGATGTTTCGAAACATTTGGATACGAAACTTTTATCTTTTTCGAATATTTGATTCAGTCTGATTACTTTTTGATTGATTTCTCCATGGTTATTGTATCAATGTACTAGAAATCGGTCATCTAGGCGTTTTAGCCACTCACCTAAGCAGTGAAAGTAGTAAATCAATATTCTTTTGGACCAAATCGATTAAAAACATCAGTGAAAGTAATAATCAATATTCTTTTGGTCCATCAATCCGTTTAGAAGTCTGTTTAAAATTCGACCCCAAACAAGAAAAGAAAAAGACGTCTGTATTAGCAAAAAGTCATAACTCATATACATACAAAAGCTTCAAATTTTCAAAAAATTGGTTTACGTGTTAATTAAGCCACTACAACGTAAACGAAACTACAAACAAACACAGCGCAACAAACATATTTCACTTTATATTGAGATATTATATTTTTGTATGTAGTAAGTTTCCCGTTGTTCGGGCTTTGATTCTGGAGGTTCAAAACTTGCCGACTTGGTATTCTGTATCTCACCCTGTATAACAAATGGATTTTTAGACGAAAAAAGAGAGAAATTCATATAAATTTAGCTTTTGATAGTATTAGTTGTTCACCCTCGCCCATGCTTGATGTTTTTTTTTTCTGTCTTTTTTTTTCTTTTTACTAAAATGTAGAAAATGAGATAACGTTCAATATGAATGTATGTTTGACAATGTCTAAACCAGAATCTTTCTGTCACATCAATTCAAAAACTAAAACGTGAAAAAAAAATGAGATAAAGTTATCTAACTTTGATGTCGTCTCACATGTTGAGCAGGAAGACTCCTGTAACGAACACCATAACGAAAATATCCTAACACCTGTAGTTATTAAATACCAGGCTGACGACCCGTGCAGAGAAAAAGAGATGTAGTCAAATATCGATCCTCCTCATATTATAATACTCAAGAAATGAACCTACCCACACAATAAGGCAAACCCCAACAGTATTGTGAATCAGGGAACATGAGTCTTCTTGCCTTGATAAACAAATATGGTCCTGATAAACAAAATTCATCCCACTTGACATAGCCCCTGCGCTCAGCCGGTGCATGGTGCATGAAAATTCATGCCCGACATGGTGATTTGGCAAAACTATTCAAGTGACACTAGAACTACATTTTTCTCTGTTGCACAAAAGTTGTTCAACAGTTAAAAACACAACTTAACCAAAATAATCGCCTATAGTGTTCTCTCTCAGCTTTTCTCTCATCTTTTTCATTTTTATTTTCTAGTTCAATTTCTTTATTATTAGTGTCTATATCATATTTCTGTTCATTGTTTTTTATTATCTATTGTTCTCATTTCCTCACGCAGCTTTAAATTCAAAGACAAGTGTTTTGGGTCTCGTTTGTTGCTTGTAGACTTTTCTTTATTATTTGGTTTCATAAATTTCCCACTTTTTTGTCAGGATTAAGCTAAAGGATGTACAACTCGAAGTCTATGGAAAGTTAATGTGTCTATGGTTGATACGATAAATCACACTTACTAATGTAGCTCCGTGAACCTTTTATCTCAAATTTACATTTATTGTTGAGTTTAGACCATTAGGGTATAAATATTTAATGGTTAACCTACAATAAATAACTACCGCATTTTAATACTGTATAGCTAGGCATGCAAAGATCACCATTCCTAAACTTAATCCACGATCTTTAAAATATGGTTTCCCGTTTTTTTATTTTTTTATTTTTCCTTTTTGAAAGTCAAATAGTACTTATATACAAGTATATGTGTGGTGTCTTTTTCATACACCAAAAGGGTCATATGCTAATTCAAGCTCTTAAATTTAGCAATAGAGTTAAGTATTTATTTATAGTGCCTACCCTTTCGAACAACAATTTTTTTTTATTTCATGTCTTGATTCATATATAAGCTATTGTTACCATATAGATTAGCTGCACATAAATAAAACCCTCATGCATATTTCTCTCCTCAATAATTACTGCCAAAAAATCCAGAGAATAATTACAGAATTTACAACGCAAAGACGGGTGATAATAGCATAATATAATTGATCAATTAGATTATTTATATATAAAATGTGGATTCATATTGTTAATTACTAGGATTTTCTTATATAGTTATTATTTAAGTATGTACGTAAGCTGTATGATGCTTTTCTAAATATATTGTAATTAACTTTTCTTAGTCGTGATCTTCAATTTGCAGGGTTAACTTCCCTTTTTTTCGTGGCTAAACCGGGATAAAAAAAAAAAAAAACAAGAAATGGGTTTGCCTGCTTCTCTAAAGTCATACCATATTTTGCTCCTCGTCTGTTTGCTTAATGTTTTCACCACTAACTCAACGGGACCATTTGAAGAAGAGGCCGTGCTTTTTGGCGGGAACTTTTCGGCTTTGTATGTTATTGGAGATTCATTGGTTGATCCAGGAAACAATAATTATCTTTTGACGCTAGTCAGAGCGAATTTTCCACCTTATGGTTCTAACTTTGAAGGAGGCAAAGCTACGGGCCGTTTTAGCGATGGCAAAACAATCGCTGATTATATTGGCAAGAACAAAAACAATTACGAAAGTTTTATCTTTCCTACATTTTTAAGAGGACTTGTGTTTTTTGATGTTTTTTTAATACTATATGTAAAATAATAAAATTACATGAAGATTTATTACGATATCATCGTATATTATGATATGATAGGATATTAGATTTGCATATATCCTCTTTCCTATTATTGTTATCTTAGAGATTCTCTTGTAAATGTATAAATACAAGGTCGATTGACCTGAATGAATAACAATAATAGGAAACATTCATATTCTAATTTGTCATGGTATCAGAGCTAAAAGATCCCTAAACCCTAAAATTTCTTCTTCCTCCCATACTCTGTTTTTCTCTCGGAAAACAGAGCCTTCTTCGTTTTCTTCTTAAGCCTCTCGGCGTTCGAACGGTTCTTACTTTTGCTCACGATGGCTCTCGCCACAAGTGATGTTACCTACAAAACGATATCTCCATACGATCTTACCTCCAATGATAACCCCGGCGCCGTGATTTCACAACTGCTGCTCAACGGCATGAATTACGATGAATGGGCTATCAATTTTCGTATGGCGTTAAGCTCTCGTAAGAAATTTGGATTTCTTGATGGGAGTATTCCAAAACCTGCTACCGATTCTTCTGATCTTGAAAATTGGATTGCCAATAATCATCTGATTGTTGGTTGGATTAGACAAACAATTGAACCCAAGATTCGCTCCTCTCTTTCTACTCGTGAGGTTGCTAAAGAACTATGGGATATCATCAAAAAGAGATTCTCAATCAAAAGTGGAGCTCGTCTACAACAGCTCCGAAATTCCCTTGCTACCTGCAAATAAAACGGCTCTACGGTGGATGATTACTTTGGTCGATTAACTAAGATTTGGGATGGGATTGCAGAGTGTATGAACACTAAACGTTGCAGCTGTGGTAAGTGTGAATGCGATCTCAATGCAGCACACGAAAAGGAGAAAGAAGTCTTGCGAGTTCATGATTTCCTTTCTGGCTTGGATGACTCGGTCCATGGGGTTATCCGTTCACAGCTGTGTGCGATTACACCTCTGCCTGATCTGGATAGCGTGTACCAAACGATAGTCCAGAACGAAACCATTCGTATGAATGCCATCCAGTCTGAACCTGTTATGAGCTTTACGACTCAAGCTTTGCCTGCAAATGCCTCTCGGCCTTCTTCTACAGTTTGGACTAAAGATATAACTCGTCAAGCCACGGATTTCTCTAACACTGGTCGAATCGGATCTAGCAATCGCGATCCTTCTCGCCAGTGTACAGTGTGTAAACGTATGGGACATGAAGCGACTTCATGTTTTAAAGTTATTGGCTATCCTGATTGGTTTCCGCGTGGTCGTGGTGCTCCAGCAACATCTGCGGGTCGTGGTAGTAGCTCTCTTCCGCGTGCTAACATGACTCAGATTGGGAGTGCCAATGCTGCGACAGTAAACTCATCCTCCGCCATTACCGACAGTGATCGCCAGGGCTTGAGTGGTCTTACAGATGAGCAATGGAATACGGTGCAGAAGCTCATCAATCTGGGCAAATCCGATTCTTCCTCCGGTGGTAAGACTAATGATTCTCTATGGATTTTAGATACTGGCGCAACACACCATATGACAGGTCGCATTGACTTGCTTGAGAATATCCGTGCCATCACTCCTCTCTCGGTCCTGTTACCAGCTGGTTCGGATGCGTGTGCAACTAAACAAGGGACAGTTCGACTTACGTCTCGATTGTCCTTGCAGAACGTTTTCTTTGTCGATGGGTTTCATACCAACTTGATCTCCTTGGGCCAGCTTGTCACTGACAATTTTTTGGTTGGACAACTGACAGATAAGCTTATGATTTTGCAGGATCGGGTCTCGAGGATGCTGATTGGCGCGGGTGAGCGAGAGGGAGAGGGACTGTACCGGTTTCGAGGCACGGACGCAGTAGTTTCATGCCAGACATCGGTTCGTGATGATTTAGTCCTGTGGCATCAACGTCTTGGTCACCCTTCTTCTCAGATTACTGGAATAGTTTCGGGTGTTAGTTTTTCTAGTAGTTGTTCTGAGTTTTTTAAGAGTTGTGATGTGTGTTTTCAAGCTAAACAAACTTGCCAATGTTTTCCAGACAGTTCCAATAATGCAAACGAAATTTTTGATTTGATACATGCTGACTTATGGGGTCCGTATCGGACGACAGCCTTTTGTGGTTCCCGTTATTTTTTGACAATTGTAGACGATCATTCACGTGCAGTTTGGTTGTATCTCCTTCCCGATAAATCTGCAGTTTCTCAACAGCTTCGTGACTTCATATCTATGATCGAAAGACAATTCTCCAAGAAGATAAAAACAGTGCGAAGCGATAACGGTACGGAGTTTCTTTGTCTTGCCAGATTTTTTCGAGAAAATGGCATTATTCATGAGACGTCTTGCGTTCATACACCACAACAAAAGGGTCGTGTTGAACGTAAACATCGTCATATCCTCAATGTTGCACGAGCTCTTCGATTTCAGGCCAGTCTTCCGATCGAGTATTGGGGTGAATGCATTCTCGCTGCAGCATATTTAATAAATCGTACTCCTTCGTCTTTGCTCGCACACCAGACGCCTTTTGAGAAGCTTTATGGTCATCTGCCGGCTTACAAACACTTGCGTGTTTTTGGGTGTTTGGCCTATGCTCATAATACAGATCACAAAGGAGATAAGTTTGCTTCACTTAGTCGCAAATGTGTCTTCTTGGGTTATCCCTATGGGAAAAAGGGCTGGAAACTTTATGATATTGAACGAGAGACATTCTTTGTTTCTCGCGATGTGGTCTTCACCGAAGATGTCTTTCCGTTTGCCACTACGGCTTCTTCTTCACATCAGGCTTTACCACTAATTACATCTCCGCAGATTGCTGTTGACGAGGATATTCCTATGGTTGTTGTTGCTCCTCCTGGTCCCGTTTCTCATACTGCTGAGGACACTCTTCCATCTAACTCCACCGAGCTTTCAGTAGTGGAATCAACTACATCAACCTCTCCAGTTGATGATAGTAGCACAGCTGTTTCGGAGGAACTGTTGGGTCGTGGTCATCGCACCAAGACTCTTCCTGCAAAGTTTCGTGATTTTGTTGTTGACACGATTTCTACTCCTCCCTCTTCCTCTCTCGCCTCACTCTCACCCGATCCACAGCTCCCCTCAGGTTCGTTATATCCTCTTGTTAACTATGTGTCTTGTGATCGTTTCTCACCCAAACATCGCAGTTTTCTGATGGCACTAGCTACGGAGGTCACTCCTCGCTCTTTCCGAGAAGCTATGGAATCCGAAAATTTTCGCAAGGCAGTGGATTCCGAACTTCATTCTCTTGATACTCTTGGTACATGGAGATTAGAGCACTTGCCTCCCGATAAGAAAGCTTTGGGATGCAAATGGGTCTTTACTATTAAATACAAATCTGATGGTACGATTGCCCGATATAAAGCTCGTCTAGTTGTTCTTGGAAATCATCAACAAGAAGGCTTGGATTATGATGAAACTTTCACACCTGTCGCCAAGATGACAACAGTTCGTGTGTTTTTGGATTTCGCAGCTAAGAACAATCATGAAGTTGTCCAGATGGATGTTCATAATGCATTTCTTCATGGTGATCTCCATGAAGAAGTGTATATGAAACTTCCTCAAGGTTTCCAATCGGCTCCAGGTGAAACGCGGGTCTGTCGTCTTCAGAAATCTCTTTACGGATTAAAACAGGCACCTCGTTGTTGGTTTGCAAAGCTTTCTGATGCCCTTCGTACTTACGGCTTTGTTCAAAATCGGTCCGATTATTCCCTGTTCGTGTATTCCAAAGGCGACGTCTCTCTTCGTATTTTGGTATACGTAGATGACTTGATCATTTCTGGAAATACATCGGAAGCCATTCAGACATTCAAAGATTATTTGTCTGTTTGCTTTCACATGAAAGATCTCGGCCCTGTGAAATATTTTTTGGGCATAGAGGTGGCTCGCAGCCCTGCTGGTTTTTATCTCTGTCAGCGCAAATATGCGACCGATATAGTTGCAGAAGTTGGCCTCCTCGGGTGCAAACCATCTGGTTCTCCTATCGCTCAGAATCACCAACTTGCTCTCGCTCAGGGTCCTCTTCTGGCTGATCCCGATCGCTACCGTCGTCTTGTGGGGCGTCTCATTTATCTTGGAGCCACTCGTCCCGATTTGACTTATGCCATTCACATTCTCTCTCAGTTTATGCAGGCTCCGCGAGTGGATCATTGGCTTGCTGTTTTAAAATGTGTTCGGTATCTTAAAGGTACACTTGGGCAAGGCATTCTTCTCAAGGCTGATTCTCCGCTCCATGTTACTGGCTGGTGTGACTCGGACTGGGCGGCTTGCCCTTTGACTCGTCGTTCTCTTACTGGCTATATTGTTCAGCTTGGTGATTCGTTGATATCTTGGAAAACTAAGAAGCAGGACACCGTCTCGCGATCATCTACGGAAGCCGAATATCGGGCTATGACAGAGGTTACATCAGAGGTTAAATGGGTTAAGGCTCTTCTCTCGGCATTTGGTGTCACTCACGCTGAGCCAATGACGATCATGTGTGATAGTAAGCCAGCTATACATATCAGTAATAATCCAGTTTTCCATGAACGTACGAAACACGTCGAGACTGATTGCCATTTTGTTCGCGATGATATACTTACTGGACTCATAAAGCCTCAACATGTTTCTACGAAAGAACAACTTGCAGATATTTTGACAAAAGCTTTGGGGAAGAAGGAGTTTGATGTTTTTCTTCTCAAGTTGGGCATTCACGATTTACATGCTCCAACTTGAGGGAGGGTATTACGATATCATCGTATATTACGATATGATAGGATCTTAGATTTGCATATATCCTCTTTCCTATTATTGTTATCTTAGAGATTCTCTTGTAAATGTATAAATACAAGGTCGATTGACCTGAATGAATAACACAGAAACATTCATATTCTAATTTGTCAAGATTCTAACCCTCTTTGTTATGTTTTTTACATTCAGCTATTTATTATGGGCTTCCTCTGGCTCCTGCTTACATGGGGTTATCTAGAAGAGAAAAGAACAAACTCTCAACTGGTATTAACTATGCTTCTGCTGGCTGTGGGGTTTTTAATGACACAGGAAAGAAATTGGTAAGTTTCAATATTTGCAACATCGGTTTGGAAAAAGTTTTATATGATTCTTTGTTCGAACAGGGAAGATGTCTCTCGATGAGTGTCCAAATCGATCTATTCAATGAAACCATCGAGAAGAATCTGAAGAAACAGTTCAAGACGGAGTCTGAGCTTAGTAGCCACTTGGCTAAATCGTTGTTTATGACCGCGATTGGGGTCAACGATTACGCTTTCTTATATAACAAGACGACAAATGATACGAATGGGTTCGCAAACAGGCTTCTTCATGAGTTCTTGATACAATTCCAGGTAACAAATGTTGTCATTTTCATTTTTTGTTCCTTGGTCATATACATTATTTAGTTCTAGCTAGTACTAACAAATAGGGTAAGTTACAACCTAGCTAAGATTTTTTTTTTTTTTTTAAAGTGTTAATCAAGATTTTTGTTTTACTAAAGATTTTAATTTTTGTTGCAGCGATTGTATAAGTTAGGAGCACGGAAGTTCTTCGTAAACAACATTAAACCTTTAGGTTGTTACCCAAATATCATTGCTAAAACAGTACCACGTGGAAGCTGCGACGACGATATAAACCATGCAATCAGCATTTTCAATGACAAGCTTAGAGAAAGCCTGTCTTATATGCATCGTAGACTCTTCAACGACACTTCATTTTTATACTCTGACTACTTCAACTTCATGTTGAGACTTCGTGGACCTCCAAGCAATCAAGGTAGCTCGAATCTATTGAACACGACAAGCCCATGTTGTCCAAAGGTTTATGATGGAGGCTCAACCACGACTTGTAGGCTATTTTCGAACGCTTGTGAGAGACCGGATACGTATATCTTCTTCGATCCGCGTCATCCAACTCAAATGGCTAATTACTTATATGCGATTCAGTGCTTTCAGGAGAGACAAGTTTGTCATGTGGTGAGAGGTCGGGTTTGAATAGTATAATATACTAATAATATAATAGAGGAATAATCGAATGATCTAAACAATAGAAAAAAAACGGAATTGGATATAAATTTCTGTAGAATAATAAAAATATTGAAAGCTAGTGTTACATGTAAACCATTATTAGTTAAGCCGTTACAACGTTAATAGAAACTACAAAAGCAACACATCATATAATGAAACCTAATTACTTAATATCATGAGTAATTATATATGATATATCTATAGAGAATTTCATAAAAGCAAGGAAGTTTATATACTATTGTTTTAGAACAGAATTATTGGGAATTAGTTGTTCTTGGGAGGATGATGCTTGGCTCTCCAATAATCAGCAGTGTAAGCAACGAGTCCATCCTCGTCAACACCTTTGCTTGATTTTCTCTCTGTCTCTCTCTTTCCACTCTTCATCGTCGTTTCTTCTCCTTCTCCACTTGTCATCATCAGCTTTCTTCCTCGTATTATCATATCACCATGTTCGATCACCTTCTTTTAATAGTTTTTTTAGTCAAGCTATTTTTGATGATTAAATCCTGAATTTATTCTTCCCATATAATAATATTATTTTTCCCATATAATATATATATCAACACAAACAACATAAAGAACGTAGATTATACGGAATACATGACATATTTATGCTCGAGTGTTAACATTAAGTATAAATAACACACATACTTTCTAGATTTTGATCATATAGATTATACCTTAGAGGTTGAAGCGAAGTCACGGCCTGATTCTTGATTCCCATCTTCCAGTGTTGAACAAAACAAAACAAACAATTTGGTTACACTATATGTTAACACTCGAGCAGTGATTTCTAATAAATTAAGACTAAAATTCTCGTGCATGCATGTGTCTATATGCAAACTAAGAGAAATATTTTGAAGTATAATGGTTTTTCTTTTGTATGGGCCGACAAAAAGAAACGGTTGTTCTTTAACTTTATGATGATTTAGTATATAACATATACCTTAAACACTAATGCATAGACATTAATTAAATCATTCTCATATTAGCGGCAAATTGCGTAGTTTAAGCTTTCAATCAGAAAAATAAAGGTACATGAATTGAAGTGACTTTTCTGGGGGAAAAAAATGAAAATACATGAGCATAGTATAATTCGACATGAAAATAGCATGATAATTCTACGCACTTTCCAGTTTTAGTTCACTATCCAAATATAGTCATCTAGGCTTTAGGATAATTCTTTTTTGGATATAAAGGAGGGAGGGAGATTAGATACAAACCATGAAGTGAATATCGAAAGAAAAAACATAAGAAACAAATGATCAACAGACATTGAATCTTTGATAAAGTAGCCATGACTCTTCTTGATTCTCCTTCACCTTCTTTAAAACTTTTTATCTTCCTTAATCTTCTTTATCGGAAATTATTTCCTTAGAATTTAAGCAGGAGGATTTACTATAAGAAGGCGTCTATATATAGGAGATTATTGACCATATGTTTTAAGTTCGTGTAACCATAATTTGTCCATAACCATGTGTCTCTGTTAACGTGTACACGTATCGATTCTTACGATGAAAAGTAGTACTTGTAGTTGTAATTATATTTTGATTTCTGCCATTACGTCCTTTCTTAAACCACTTGAATATATATATATACACATAATATGGCAACTGCACATCGTTTTTATTTTAAAAAGCAAGATGTTTTGTATTTCGCGGATTATATTATCATAAAATTATATGAAGTTTTCAGATATTCTTTTACTAAAAAACCGTACTCCTAGATACCATATTGTTAGTTTTTCTTATATGTTAGGACCGAGGAGGTCAAAACCAACAAATCTTTTTTTCCCACGATTTCTTTTACAATATTCAAATATTTCTCGCCAATTTATAAAAGCCATGGAAGGCGAGTCTGCATAAATGCTCGAGTTGGCACATGTTTTTTTTTATATCTTGGAAAGCAATTTGTCAATCTCAATGCCTTAAATTTTATTTTATGCTATTCAAAATCACAAGATATCTCATAGTAATCATTTATTTTTCTGAACGAGTCCTTGCTAATTATTGTACGGACATTGCCGAAGAATTAAATTGAAACTAGTTCCCCTTTCTCTCTGACAATATGAACTTTTTGAAGGTATAATGGCCACAATATTTATCTCTCTTAAATTCCCAAAAACTATATTACTATGTTCGTATTACTAAAAAAATATCATTTTAAACAGTTTTTATTGGTTAGAAAATATATCATTATTGGTATTGGGCTTAGTGCCGAATTCATTCCAAGAAGAACGTAAACCCGGAGATCTCATCAGACTCGGAGACGATATGCGCGCGGATGGCTTCTATTAAAGCCAAAGGGTTCATAATTCAGCTTACATAAACACATGTACTCAGATTGCTTAAAAATTCAAAATAGATCTTTCATTATTCCGATTGTCATTTTGTATTCTTCAAGGTCATTCATTAATTTTTTTTATTATTAATTCATCTTATCGTTTCAGTTCAGCAAAAGTCTAAGTTCACAATTCGTTCTCAGTCTCATAGATATTTTTGTAAAATTATTAGCCATTGCATATAATCATACCGAAGATCGTACCATCCACATTCAAGTGTTTTTAATAATATTTGATTAAAAAATGTATACTTTCCCCAATTCCCACTACTCAAGAGTAATAAAACTTAGAAATATAATTATAGTATACCAACTTCATTTATAGAATAGATATAATGAAACTTGCTTTAAAATAGTATATTCATGCAAAAATATAATTAAATTTGTTGACACTGAAACTTGTTTTGGTAGTTTGCTAAACAAGAATTTGCTTTGAAAACCCCATAAACATCGAATAATGGAGACTGAAATGTGGTCCGCCTAAAGATTGACGACCTGTGTAAGTAGATAAAAGATTACGTAAATTGTAATTCATGAGCTTGCGTGTTTTGTGCTTGAGTGCCTCCACACCGGCTTACGATGAATCACAGTCTTTCAAATATTCAAGACTTATATAATAATTTATTTAATATCGTATATATGGTATGTATATTTTTGTGTTACTAACTTACTATATATAGATATTATATTGTATGAATCCAATAGAAGCCCATAGGTTTTAGACTTTAGTTCACCACTTAATAAGAATTCTATAAATTTCGTACAAAATGATTCGAAAAATGTAAAGTTACCACTTGTAAAAGAATCAATAACCGTAATCTGTTGATCTATTAATGTAATAGTATCAATCAATAGATAATTAATCATTCAAATTAAAAATTATACGTTTAGCTCAAAAATAAAAAAAAAGAACTTTTTGCATGAATATACTTTTCTTTTTATTTGTTTAGTACTTTAGTCATAAAAGGGACAAATTGCAAAAAATGGGTAGAGAACGGAGAGAAGTCGGTCACTATTTTCTCTTTATTAAATTAGTCAATGGTGTATAGTATGGAGTGTATAACCTATGATTTCGGTAATTTCCACAATTGGAAATTGTGTACTCTTCGTTAGAATCAACATTGTAGTATTTTATTCAACATGTCCACACTCTACAGGCTACAGGCTACAGGCTACAGCGTACATCCACAGACACCTTCGCATCATTCTTTTATGCAAGTTATTATTATTTTACTTAATATTTAAAAATACTTTCTCTATTTCAAACTAATTGACGCTTTAGAGAATTTGTTTCATCTCAATTATATAATGTTATCAACTTTCAATATATATATATTTAAATATTTAATGACTATTTATATCATGCATTTTTTTATCATTGGTTTAGTTGTGTTTTACATTAAATACTTTGATTCAAAAAATACAAAATGAATATTTTTCTAAACCCATGCGAACTTTTCCAATATTATTCATATTTTGAAATTAATGGAATAATATTTATCAAACCCTATGGTTCAAGCCCAGTTTCTTCACGTGGTTTATGCGAACACTAACCCAATCATAATCTTCAGACAGATATTTAGTTTGACCTTTGTAACAGGCCGTAATGAGTTTATATAAGGCCCGATAGGCTTTTACATGTGCATGTCTTAAGTTAATCACATACTCGCACCTTGAGCAAGTAAGTTCCACTGTCACAGTGTCACCTAACTATTCCATAGAAGTGGAGAACAAACCAATCCAACCGGAAAAAACCGAAATTACCTAACCGAACGTCAGAAAAATCTGAATGGTAACCAAAAACTTACATTGAGTCAACTGGAATAAAATTTTTACTCAAATCATAACGAATCAAATTACTTAAAATTATCCTATATATATATATAATTCGATTATAATTTGAGCTTATTTTCCAAAAACCAAAACCGGAACAACTCAGAACCGAACATCTGAATGGTTTACTGTTTTTTTTTGTTAGCAAAGAGGCGCGTGTGAATCAAACGGATAATGCTACGGTATTGATGAAATGGCGATTCGTAGACCTCACAATCCCAAAAAAGAGAGAAACTCTCTTTGCACCTTCTTCTAGAAACCTCTACTCACTCCTTAAACCTTTGAGTAGGGTTTTTTCTAGGTTACTCGTTGTTCAACTGCACTCTTCTCTCTAGAGATAGAGATTTGAGGATTTCAATCTTTCTCCTTGAGAATTTCAATTTCTCTATTAATCTCTGTATCTAAACATGGCTCCTGCTTTGAGTAGAAGCCTATACACGAGTCCTTTGACTTCAGTTCCGTTTACTCCAGCTTCTTCTCTCAGAAATCAAACCCGTCTCTCTCCTCTGAGAACTGCGTTTCTGCCTCGCGGCGGCGGTGGCCTGAGAGCCGGCGTTTCATGTAGCTGGAACCTCGAGAAGAGATGCAATCGCTTCGCCGTTAAGTGCGACGCCGCCGTGGCGGAGAAGGAGACGACTGAGGAAGGGTCCGGTGAGAAGTTCGAGTACCAAGCTGAGGTTGGTTCCCTTAATTTCTCCATAAAAGTTTCGATTTTTAATTCTGGGCATTTCTCGATTTTGTGAATACTCAATTTCGTTAACTTTTTCATTCACAGGTTAGCCGATTGTTGGATTTGATTGTTCATAGCTTATACAGTCACAAGGAGGTGTTTCTCAGGGAACTTGTAAGGTGAGTCAATTTTTGTGTGATACTAAAGGATTTGTTTTTTAGAATTGGGTTGTGTGTGATTTTCTACAAAAATCTGATTTTGAGTTTTGTTTGTGTGAATACAGTAACGCAAGTGATGCTTTGGATAAGCTGAGGTTCTTGAGTGTAACAGAGCCTTCTTTGATTGGAGATGGTGGTGAGCTTGAGATTCGGATCAAGCCTGATCCTGATAACGGAACCATCACCATAACGTATGAAAGAATTCTAAATTTTTGTTTTTTTTTTTAACTTGCATATTAACAAATTGATGAAACTGATTACTTAAAGAGATTGATGCGAATTTGTAGTGATACTGGAATTGGAATGACAAAGGAAGAACTTATAGACTGTCTTGGAACCATTGCTCAAAGTGGCACATCGAAATTTTTGAAGGCTCTAAAGGTATTTTTCATTTCTCTGAATATTAGTTGCTAGGAACTCAAATCAATCCTGACGTCAAGTTTTCAGGCTCAATTGTTTTAATATCTCTCTCTCTGTATTCAGGAAAACAAGGACCTTGGTGCCGACAATGGTTTGATAGGACAGTTTGGTGTTGGGTTTTACTCTGCTTTCTTAGTTGCTGAAAAGGTGAAGACTTTTAATTTTTGCTTTTAGTATCTTCTGGTTCATGTATTTCTTATGAGGAGTGGACTTATAGTTGTCTCTGATTTCAGGTTGTTGTGTCCACCAAAAGCCCCAAATCTGACAAGCAATATGTTTGGGAATCGGTAGCTGATAGCAGCTCATATGTGATCAGAGAAGAGACAGACCCTGAAAACATTCTACGCCGTGGAACGCAAATAACTTTGTATCTAAGGGTACGCTTCTTGATTGAAATGTTCTTCCATTTGATGCGCCGAATATTTTAAGTTCTCTTATAGTTTAATTTCCTGGCTACAGGATGATGATAAATACGAGTTTGCGGAGTCTACGAGAATTAAGAACCTTGTGAAGAACTACTCTCAGTTCGTTGGGTTTCCCATCTATACATGGCAGGAGAAATCAAGAACTGTAGAGGTGAGAATGGCGTTTATGTCGTCCTTTTTACAATTTTAAGAATGTATTCACACTGCAAATATGGTATGAAAATTTGTAACTTGTGTTAGGTTGAAGAGGAAGAACCAGCTAAAGAAGGGGAAGAAGAAAAAGAGGTAAACAATTCATGGTTTTTAATTGTTTGCAATAGCTCCCAAACGCTGTCCTTTGCTTCTCCTGTTTACTCATTACTGACATGATCTTGTTACTTGTTTGATTTCAGGGTGAGCCGAAGAAAAAGAAGACTACTAAAACGGAGAAGTACTGGGACTGGGAACTAGCCAATGAAACAAAACCGCTATGGGTGAGCCTTGAGCTTTTAACTTTGTCTTTTCTCTTTGTCTTTATGATGTTCAACATGCTCACTTGATTATTGTTGTGTGTCGCTGAGTAGATGCGCAATTCAAAGGAAGTGGAAAAGGAGGAGTACAATGAGTTTTACAAGAAGGCTTTCAATGAGTTCTTGGATCCACTTGCTCACACACACTTCACAACCGAGGTGCTTATGCTTTTCGTTATGTGTGTCTATATATATACTGTATATATCTATATATATACACTGTATATATCTATATATATACACACATATTGCCTTATTATTTACTGGATGCTTATCGTTTGTAATTTCTTGTTTCTCAAAAGGGCGAGGTTGAGTTCAGGAGCATTCTATACATCCCTGGAATGGGTCCTCTTAACAATGAGGACGTTACAAACCCGAAAACAAAGAACATTCGTCTCCACGTGAAGCGTGTATTTATCTCTGATGACTTTGATGGAGAGCTGGTACGTTTATGTTCATATTGTAGAAATCGTTCTAAAACGTAGAACCATATTGTCTCTCTGAAGATATAGATTAGCCCTGGTTCCATTTTTGTTTGACCATGTTTCTCAATCTGTTTGCAGTTCCCGAGATACTTGAGCTTTGTGAAGGGTGTGGTGGACTCAAATGATCTTCCTCTTAACGTTTCACGTGAAATTCTCCAAGAAAGCAGAATCGTAAGTAGCTCCACATTTAGTGATGCAAATTTAAATATGAATCTCACCTCTCTATTAATACATATCAATAATATTCAGGTAAGAATCATGAGAAAGAGGCTCATTAGGAAAACTTTTGACATGATACAAGAAATCTCCGAAAGTGAAAACAAAGAGGTCCGTGTCTTCTCCATTAACCCCTTTTGTTCTCTTAAGCTCATTCGAAGTCCCCAATTATTCATTTTGTGGTACAAATGGTTTCAGGATTACAAGAAGTTCTGGGAGAACTTTGGTAGATTCCTTAAATTGGGTTGTATTGAAGACACTGGTAACCACAAGCGTATCACACCGTTGCTTAGATTCTACAGTTCCAAGAATGAAGAGGAATTGACGAGCTTGGATGAATATATCGAGAACATGGGCGAGAACCAGAAGGCAATCTACTACCTTGCAACCGACAGTCTGAAAAGTGCCAAGTCAGCTCCTTTCTTGGAGAAACTAATCCAAAAAGATATTGAGGTAATATGATTCAAGATTAGTTTTTCAACTTGCAAACTTAAACTTGTCATGGTCCTTGATTTTTGGTTTGACTTTTTTGCCGTTTCTTTGCTATTGATTATAGGTTCTATACCTGGTTGAACCAATCGATGAAGTTGCGATTCAGAATTTACAAACCTACAAAGAAAAGAAATTCGTTGATATCAGCAAAGAAGATTTGGAACTTGGTAAGTATTCTTAGCGATTCTTGCGCAGTCTGTGTGAAATCTGCTTTTCTAACCAAGTGTGGCGCCGTTTTTGGCAGGTGACGAAGATGAAGTAAAGGAAAGGGAAGCTAAACAAGAGTTCAATCTTCTCTGTGATTGGATAAAACAGCAGCTCGGCGACAAAGTTGCCAAAGTCCAAGTCTCGAATCGTTTGAGCTCATCTCCTTGTGTGCTTGTCTCAGGCAAATTCGGGTGGTCGGCTAATATGGAAAGGTTAGCAGCTACAGTATAATAGAACTTTCTAAACAAGAAATTGTCATCGTAACCTAAATGTTTTTGTTTGTGGTGAAAGGTTAATGAAGGCACAAGCCCTTGGAGACACCTCAAGCTTGGAGTTCATGAGAGGTAGGAGAATACTAGAGATCAATCCAGATCATCCTATCATCAAAGACTTGAATGTAAGTGTGCCACTTCGTCTCTAAATCTCGTCTCAGATATCTCGAGAATTGCCATTTGATTTTTGATTTTTGGGGGGTTTTTTTTGGCATATTTGTGCAGGCTGCTTGTAAGAATGCACCTGAGAGCAGTGAAGCAACAAGAGTGGTTGATCTCTTATATGACACTGCTATAATCTCGAGTGGATTCACTGTAAGAGATCTAAAAACACTTCTGAGCTTTCTTGTTTCGTAGTAGTTAGTCTTGTCGACACATTTACTAACTTATGATGTGTTTATTGAACAGCCCGATAGCCCGGCCGAGCTGGGGAACAAGATTTATGAGATGATGGCTATGGCGGTTGGAGGAAGATGGGGACGAGTTGAAGAAGAAGAAAGCTCGACTGTGAAAGAAGGAGATGACAAAGATGGAGAAGCAGAAGTAATTGAACCATCTGAAGTTAGGGCAGAGAATGATCCTTGGCAAGATTGATTTATCTTTTTTTTCTCTGCAGTGAATTTTTGACACAAAAATGCTTTTCTCTCAATTAGGACTGTCTTCTTTATGTTTCGGGTATACGAGTATCAGGAGCCTTAAGAAAGCCCGTTATTGGATCATGCATGAACGAGGATTATTCCAATATTTGTAGTTTTATTTTTCTTAATCACTAAAATTATTTTAGAGTAATTTCTATCCAAATAAAAACCATAGTATAGTCAAGAAATTCGAAAGATTAAGCTAACAGATTGATGTGTATTAAAATCGTTCATGTATTGGTTTCTAGATTTCTTTCCAAATATTTTTTTTTTTTTTTTTTGAGAAATATTTTGTATAAATCTGACTGGGTTATTTATCAACAAATAATTATATCTCAAAATTATTGAGTGATATTGTATTTTTGATAACGAAATTATACTTTTTACATTTCTTTCCGAGAACTTCATGATTTAAATATTAGAAACGTATCATAATATGATTAACATTAAACATGTGTCAGAATTTGCTCACTTATAATTCTACCAAATGTAGATTTGTAGTAATAAAAGAAATAATAATTGAATTAAAGTGATGTATATCTAGTATTCAAACATTTTTTAATACATGGGAGAAAATATAGATAAATCTCTTATCATTTTTCTAAAACTATAAAGAGTTTTGCAGATTTATATCTATAATAATGGATGTTGTGTTTTTTTTTTTTGAAACAGATCTTATATAAAAGAATTTCTCTAAAATTAACATTTCACACGTTATTGTATTTTTCCACAGGCACTTGCACTTCACAGTGCCCACGTCATTGCCATATCACCAAAAAGTCACTCTGATTTAAGCTTCGTAGTAGAGAAAAGCTAGTACGGACAGAGACAATATACGACAAACGCAAGCTGTCCACATCCTAGTCCCTTAAAACTCCCAAAGTAGTAGTACCAATACTAATGTCATTCACATACTGAAATAATGACTTGAAAATCTCAAGACTTATAACTTGTGAATTTTATTTTATAAGTTATAATCTTATTTATTGAGAAGAAAGCTTTTCTTCCTAAAGCCTTATTGCAAGAAAAAACAAACCTTAGAGAGCTTCTTTACATTTTCCTCAATGGCTTTTTCTAAATCATATTACAATCTCTTGACCATTACAATTCTCCTTCTCTCCTCCACATCAACCTCTCTTGCCGGTAACGCTGAAAACGCAGACGTAAGCGAATGCAAAGCTGAATCAGGAGATTCATCATGCCGTAACAACATAGAATCACAAAAGCTTAAACTAATAGCAATCCCATCGATCTTAGTAGCGAGCATGATCGGTGTTTGCTTACCGTTGTTTACTCGTTCCATTCCTGCTTTAGGACCCGATCGAGATACGTTTCCAATCGTTAAGGGTTTATCTTCAGGTGTTATTTTGGCTACCGGTTATATGCACGTTTTTCCAGACGCTGTCGAGAATCTTACATCTAAATGTTTGCCCGAAAGTCCGTGGAGGGAGTTTCCGTTTACATTTTTTATCGCGATGGTTTCCGCTTTGGTTACTTTGATGGTTGACTCGTTTTTAATGAGTGCGCATAAGAAGAGAGCTAGTAAGCGTGAGGTAAAAGTTAAACCCCTAGAAAATGGATCTAACTCGTTGGAGATCCAACATGAGATCAAAACCCTAGAAAATGGATCTGTTGTTGTGGAGAAACAAGATGAGGTCACAAGTCAACTTCGTAGGAATAAAGTCATTGCTCAGGTACATATACACTTTCTTAATCACATTTTTATTTGGAAGTCGAAGCTAGAATCGATTTCAACTAAACCCACTAAGTACTTCAGTAATATATTTCATGTACGGATATTTTACAATATGAAAATTAGTTTGGACTTTGACATATATCGAATTTTCAGAGCATCAATACAAAAAATGTTAAATGCAATCTCATGAATCTTTTTAAAATGATCAATTTCGTGTAGATGTTGGAACTAGGTATTGTTGTACACTCGGTGGTGATCGGTCTCGCAATGGGGGCTTCGAATAACCAATGTACCATACGATCACTTATCGCGGCACTTTGTTTCCATCAGCTCTTTGAAGGGATGGGACTTGGTGGTTCCATTCTACAAGTAAAGTAGTCGTTGTCAAATCCATCGCTATATTTGATAATCAAACAATATATCTAACGTATTAATTTTTTTTTATAGGCGGAATATGGAAGACAAACGAGATTGATAATGGCATTCTTTTTCTCGGTCACAACACCGTTTGGGATTGCTTTAGGGATGGGAATACAAAAAATATATGACGAGACAAGCCCGACGGCGTTGATCGTGGTCGGGGTTTTGAATGCTTGTTCCGCCGGTTTATTGAACTACATGGCGCTTGTTGATCTCTTGGCTCATGAATTCTTCGGAGAGAAATTGCAAGCAAACATGAAACTTCAGTCATTTGCTTATGTTGCTGTCCTTATAGGTCTTGGAGGAATGTCTTTGATGGCTAAATGGGCATAGAACTCTTAAGTTAGTCGACTCATCCTTAATTCCAGCGATCAATTAAGTTATTCGACTCATATTGTCCATGTGATGGTTTTGACCATGAGAAGAATACATGGATATGAAAGAATTAGGATGAATGACGTGGAGTAAAATTTTAATTTTTTTTTTCCTGGTGATTGGAAGGGAAATATGTTTCTCATGAGTTTCTAGTTTTAATTTAATTTAGCTTATTTTGATATATCTGATATTTTAGATACTCTGAATATCACTTTTCTGCTAACAAATATCAAAATTATATTCTACATGTTTTTGGTCCATGACAAACAATTTTTTTGTGTGTGTCTATAACATTATGGACAATGTGATGATTGCTCAAGAGATGCAATTTAGTAGAAATTTAATGAAGATGGGCAAAATCATATATAATTGTCAAAAACTGATATTTCTAAAGCTTATGACAGATTGGAGTGATATTTTGGAAGAGATCCAATGAATAAAATGAAATTTGATGACCGCTGGATTGGCTGGATCATGAATTGCATAAAAATATGTCTTCCTTTTCTACAATTGTATTGAGTCATTGGGGGTATATGTGCACATACTATATATCTTATTATATAAAGCTGAATTTTTCAATGCAATACATATATAAGATTTTTATAACTCATTCAATTATGATATTTATCATATTTAATGAAAATTTTAACATGTGTTAGTATAATAATTTAAACTTACATTCTTAATTATTTATGTCAAAAATTAAAAAAAAAATTCTTAATGGAAATTATCAAATAGAAAAAATAAAATAAATAGAAAAAACTATCATATAAAAAAATTATAATTTTCGAACCATAACATTTATATAGAATGATTATTTATTTTATTTCTGAATAATATGAATCAATTTTTAATTTCTAAATTACAAATTATAAACATAGATTATAAATAATTTAATGGAATTTTAGTTTAAAATTTAATTATATGGATTTAAATTACGCAGATAATCAATTTTAAAATATGAAGATTTTTTTTTCATGTATTATACGATGCCTAATCTAGTTATATATATATATATACAGAATACTATATCTAATTTATTTTATGATTACTTACTTAATTTCCATTTTTAAGTTATCTTCTTCTTTTTTTAATATTCATCTTTTGCATTCAATTTAGTACAACTTATCAACTAAAGTACCTTGTACAGCAGAAAAGTAGAGTCTTTGTTTATAAACTAAAGCAAAACCCTGTTTATATCTAATCTGTTTGTGGAGGTGTGAAAAATAAGAAAATGAATTCCGACAAGTATTCTTTAATATTCATCGTTTCCATTCAATCTAGTACAACTTTCCAAATAAAGTACCTTGTACAGAAAAAAGTAGAGTTTTTATAAATTGAACCAAAATATTGTTTATGAAAAGTAATGTAATCTGTTTGTGGTTGGGTGAAAAAAATGAAAATGAAATTCAAAAGTAATGCATTATTCTAATATTCACTTTCTTTATCCCAGACTCGCAGTTTCGTGGTCTCATCATAAGTCTCATTTTCTTTTGAAAAGATATTTAATTAGTTAACAAAAAAAACTAGAACCATAATATCATTTTTTTAAAAGTTTATTATTCACGCGGAGTAATTTGATGCCTATAATAAGCTAAACATCTTTAGTAAGAAGGAAGTGTGTTTCTTCCTCCTCCTCCATTCGCTTGCCTTTCTAAAAACATTCACTTTTGTTATACATATTCATATTCTGCAAGGCCGAGTATGGACTTCAATTTGGGCGGGACTCCTGGGATATGGCAGTTTCCTACAAACCTCCAACATTGCTGTATCTACAGAGTCCCACACTGTCTGCGTCGAGTGAACCCAGAGGCATACACGCCTCAGTTAGTTCTCATTGGACCTCTTCACGATACTTTAAAATCTCAAGCTTTTCAGGGTCGTGCCAATATCACAAAGTCAACGGGCTACTTAAACATGGAGAAGCATAAGAGAAGTTACCTACAACAATTCACGCAAAGACCCCAAGTGGGAGATGCCACCATTCAAGGATTCGTGGTCACGATCGGGTTAGAAGAAGCGCGGATCAGAGCAAGCTACTCAGAATCAACGGCCTTGATTGAACATGAAGCCTTCGTGAATATGATCCTGCACGACTCTGTTTTCATACTAGAGTTCCTTTTGAGGGCTTGTGCTCTCAATAGACGAGAGAGGATAAGTGATCCTCTCATGGACGAGGCTTGTCTTGAAACCACAATCAAGAGAGACCTCATGTTGCTCGAGAACCAGCTACCTTACTTCATCCTCGAGAGGCTCTTTGGAACAATCGTCCCGATACTCCCAGGCAACCTGACACTCAGGACATTAATCTTCACTTACTTTGGATTCCCAGTTGTGTTCGGAAACAACTTCCAGTTTCTCCATTTCACTGATTTGTTCAGGCAGATCCGCGTGAATACACTTTCTCCAGGTCATCTCCAAGGGCAATTCAATACCATACAGCACATGTATAACGCAGACAAGCTCGATAGTGGGGGAGTGAGATTGCAGGCCGTGGGAGAAGAAAGGTCGTCCTCGCTGGAGGTGAACTTTGTGAATGGTTGTTTGCAGATACCATGTTTCTTCGTTGATGGCATTACAGAGTTAACACTTAGAAACATAATGGCGCTAGAACAATGTCATTACCCTTTCAATGCCTATGTCTGTAACCACATCATCTTCCTCGACTATCTCATCCACACCAGGAAAGACGTTGACTTGCTTGTCCAGCAAGGTACGTAACCCTTTCATCTTTACAAATAGGTCTGTTGGAAATTACTTTGAAAAATATATTCTGAATAAGAATAGTTAATAGTGCATGGTGAACAGGATAAGGTAAATTATGGAATGACTGATTGTAGAGAAGGAAAAAAATATATAGAACTAGAATGGTAGTATGTTAGAGCATTTGCATTGGTGATTGATCCTCTCTTATCAATATAATATTATGGCCGGTCTAAAGTCAAATGACGCATACCTTAAAAGTGATAGCCCTTAATTGGAATAAAAACAATTTTTTTACACCATATTTTGTAAATATATAATAAAAAACGATGCCTTTAATAGGATAAACAATTTTTTTTCCTAAATCAATTTTTTTTTCTGTCAAAAATTGATTTTTTTAAGCCTAAAATCGTTTTTTAAATCTAATCGATTTTTTTTTAAAAATTGTTGAGTTATAATCAAGCCCAATAATAGATCCATATTTTTTTAAAGAATAAAGAGTGAATAGTGATTTTTATTTATAATGTAACTTTTTCTTCTCATTTCTTTGACTTGGTTGATGTGGGACAAATAACAATATACACTTTAAAAAAAAAATTATAGGTTTTTTTACTACCTCAAAAAATATTGATTTTTGAACTACTTTAAAGCTCTTGTTTCATGGGTTTGACCGACTTTATTAGTATATAGGTTAATTTGAGAAGTTTATTTTAATTTTTGTCTCCATAATGAGAGAACTTTATTTTTTTTTTATATATAAACTAAAGATTATAATATAGATTCAGTAGTAATTTCAAAATTAAAACATTGAGGCATTTTTTTGTAAAAATGTTTTTTGATGAATAAGTTTTATATTCTTCAAAAAAATAAAATAATTATAATTATAATACCATTTTTTATATAAGTTAATATTTTTAGTGTAATATAATTTAAATACTGAAATAAAAGAAAGAAAGAAAGAGAGAAAGAGTGATTACACCTTATTTATTTACCAGAATTTTTACATCTAGTTGTGTATTAATTCGTAATGGTTTTTTGTTATTGTTAGGGATAATAAGGAATAGAGTAGGGAGCCATGATCTGGTGGGTGATATTTTGAAACAGCTCTGTTCTGGAGTCAACGAGTTTGACTCTTACTATTCTGAAATCGCACAACAAGTCACCAATTATTACCGTAACCGGGAAACGATGAACCGGAATATGGATCTTGAACTGGGAGAGTGTCCTGGGATGTGGCTTCGTCCTAGACATCGCGACCATTGCTGTATCTACAGAGTCCCAGATGCTCTGCGTCGATCTAAGCCAGAAGCATACACGCCGCAGCTAGTCATCATTGGACCTCTTCACCATTCTTTAAAGTCTCAAGCTTTCAAGGCTCGTGGAGATATCACAGACGTAAAGTCACTGGGCTACTTAAACATGCAGGTGCATAAGAGGACATACCAAGCGGCATTAATGCAAAGGGTTCAAGCCGTGGCAAACAATAATAATAATATCATTGATGACTTGAGAGAAATGATCCAAGGACAAGAAATAAGGATCAGAGAAAGTTACTCAGAATCGACGGCTTGGATTAAATCTCAAGATTTCGTTGAGATGATCATGGAAGACTCTGTTTTCATACTAGAGTATGTTGTGAAGATTTTCGAAAGAACACCGGCACAGAGAGAGGAAAGGACAGGGGATCCTCTCATGGACGAGGAACATCTTCAAGGCACGATCAGGAGAGATCTCATGTTGCTCGAGAACCAGCTTCCTTACTTCATCCTCCACCGACTCTTCCTTTTAATTTCCCCAAGATTCCGCAACCCAATCCCAACGAACCCAACATTCCGGCAACTAATCACCAGATACTTTGGAGTCCGTCCAATCGATGGGGAAATCGCTCTTCTTCATTTCACTGATTTTCTCAGGTTTGTCAGCGCCAGAACAGTTCCTCCTGCTCCTCCTGCTCTTGTAATGGCCCAGCCTCACAGACAAAACCCACCAAGACGTCGCTGTCTCGGTAATTTGTTCATTAGACCACCTCCTGTGCCGCCTCCTCGTGTAGGATATATGTATACCGCAGAAAAGCTAGCTAGCGCGGGAGTGGAGCTGAGAGCCGTGGGTGCAGAGCCCTCGCTGGTGGTGAACTTTACCGATGGACGTTTGGAGATACCAAGTTTCTCCTTTCAGCGCAATACAGAGGCGAAACTTAGAAACATAATGGCCCTTGAGCAATGCCATTACCCTCGCCAAGCCCATCTCTGTAACCACATGGTCTTCCTGGATTACCTCATTGACACTGAAAAAGACATCGACTTGCTTGTCGAGAAAGGTAACCCCTTCCTTTCAATCTTTACAGATAGATCATCTCTCTCTCTCTCTCTCTCTCTCTCTCTCTCTCTTGATTCGTAATGGTTTTTGTTTGTTTTATTGTGAATAGGGATCATAATGGGAAAGGCTGGGGATGGTCGTGTGTTGGCTGATATTGTGAACAAGCTCTGTTCGGGAGTCAACGTTTCTGAGTCTCGCTATTCTACTATCGCAGAAGACGTCAACAGGCTCTGCGATAATAACAACAGGAATACGTTTTCATGGAGATCGCTCAAGAAATTGTACACCAACAAGTGGCAATCGATAGCCACCTTAGTGGCTGGATTGCACTCCATGAGGTTCTAAACCCTGATGATCAGCATCAGAGCTAAATATAAACGGTTAGTATTTCTATTTATTTTCTACTTGTTTAATGTTTGTGTAATATACTATATATCACCGGTAAAAAATAAAAGTATTTTGGATCCGCCACTGGAGGTTGTAATGTAGTGTAAAACTCTTTTTCACCTAAACCCGCAGCTCTCGAGCAGAGGATTACACGTGCAGCAAGAAGACCAAATCCAAACTATTTCCGGTCAAGTATTTCCGTTACTGTTTTTTTTTTTATTTATGTTTTTTGTTTTCACATTGTCGTTTTATAAAGCAAGACTGTGATGAGTCTTCTAATAAGTGTGCTTCACTTTTCCCAATTCCCTGTTTTGTAGGAATCTATGATTCCATGCATGTATGCTTCCATGTTTTTTGTAAAAGAATTTGCTTCCATGTTGTATGATTGTATCTCCTATTTAATAATTTCAAAAAAAAAAAAAACAATAACCAGATCCCTAAATATAATCTATCTTCTATGATCTCCAAAATTATTGTCAAGTTGGAAATTTTTTACTCTGAGAATTGATTGTATGTATAAACTATTATTATCCCATTATAAATCACATTTGAATTCGCATATATAAGCTTCTTCATCATCTTCTTCTCATCAGATGCAGTCGTCTTTACTCGAACTCTGGCCTGGTGATATCACTCACATGTGCTCACATTTGAATTCGCATATATAAAGTAGCCATATATAACTATTTTTGCCAATCTTCAGGATATTATATCAAACAACACACGATCATCTAATGGAACTATAAATCACATTTAAATATCCATTGCTAATAGCCTAATACTAATACACCTTTTGGAATAACACACTAAAACGCCACTAGATCCAGACACTTTTTTTTTTTTTGAATGAATGTTAAAATTATTCCAAACCAAAAAAAAAATCGTTTCTACATGATTCATGCGAGCATATAAATAAGTACATCATTTAAATCCAAAAATCTGGTTATCTTCTTCGTGAATCAATTTGGCTGTCTCGATCCAGACACATTTGATTTTTGATTGAAAGTTACTGAGGATTTTTTCGTCTATAAGTTACATCTGTGTAAATTTTTGTTTACATTTGATTAGTGGACAAGTCAAATATTGCCGTCGAACAAGAGTATGACTATGAATATCATGTGTATATTTTAAGGACTTTAAAATCATTAGAGCGCTCTGCCTAGTCTTCTTAAAGTTGTACCTATTTCCGGCTCGAATTCGGTTTGGATTTCAATTTATAGTTCTAAATCAATTTCAAATTTAGCACCCAAAAAAAAATCAATTCCACATCTTATGTGATTTTGAAAAAAAATACTATTATTTTCAGTTCCACCCAAGCCAAATAATATTCAAGGCAACTCTATAAGTCTCAAGATATTGAAAAGCGCCCGTTTAGAAACAAATCAACATTCGAAGACTCTGAATATAAACGTATCTTATACCAGACATTAATATTATTTTTAATGTTGGTCAACAATATATTTGTAAACCAAAATGTCTATAAATCATAAGTTTTTGTACCCTCTTGAGCTATCACCAAAAACAAATGGCGTCTAAAGTTATTTCTCTCCTATTCATCTCACTGTTTCTTACATGTAAGTCTCTCTCATCTCTCGAATCATTGATTCACAAACTAAATTTAATAAATCAATTTTGATTTTGAATCATTATCGAAAATCAATGTCACGATATTATAGGTATGAGATCAGTGAGCATACCTAAAGCCGAAGCGCAGATAAAGTATCATAGCTGCTCGACTGTAGATGACTGCCAAGATGTTCATTGTTTGATCGCATCGGTCAAATGTGTAGACTCGCAGTGTCAGTGTCCGCCGGTTTCACCACGCTCAATTAGAAAGAGCCTCAACCTAAAACCAACAGAGACGCCATTACCGTGCAAGACAGCAAGTGATTGTGAAGATAAGCTCACTTGCGTTTTTGGGAAATTTGTATGTGAAAATTCACAATGTCATTGCGTAGTTGGTTAGAGAATTTTAAAAATTGAAAAGTTTCATGATTGATTCTTTGTGTGATGACTTCAGAAAACAATAAAAACAGATTTAATTCTATAGCGAATACACTTAGTTTTGATTGAATACTGGAGTAGGCCTAGCGTATATGCACAGTTAAAAATTTAAAATTTTATAATCTATGAAAAAGAAATCAAAAACCAAAAAGGTAAAAAATAAAACAATATTATAAATAATTAAATGTGTCGAAATCTTATCGATCTAATTGATAAGTTTGAGACATCAAATTTTATAAAATAAAATGTGCAGAACAAATTTGAATAACAAGGTTTGGAAATATTATACACAATATTTTTTATAAAAAAAAATTAAAAAAAGAACCGCTGTCAAAGTTAGACACTAATTGATGTTTATGTGAAGTATTCCCACTGGTCAAACTAGATCTTAAATTTTTTTCAAACATGAAGAGCAAACGTTTCATTTTTTCTTAAAAAAAATAGTAATACTAGTTGATGTTTATTTGAAGTATTCCCACTGTTCAAAGTCGATCTTAAATTTTCTTCAAACATGAATAGCAAACGTTTCATATTATTTTTTGTTAAGTAATGCCACACGAGAAATTGATAATATTCAAGGAAAGGGATCTTTGACCAGCCTGTTGGAATAAGTTTGAAAGAAACTTGAAGTGCAAGTTTCCTAATCCTAATCAAAGTGTGTTTTCTAGAAGGTTAGGATTAGAAAATGAAATTTTTATCTAAAAAGTAAAATTGTTTCTCTATTGGAATTAGGAATTATCTAATCCATTATCTATATAAAGAGTTACAGAGTTGTTGCAAACACTTATGAGTTGAGAGAGAGAGATTTGAGAGCCTTTAGTTTTTGAGTGATTTTTCTAAAGGTTAATAAAAGAGAGTTATTCTTTTACAAATCTGTGTTCTTAAACTTCTGTGAATTCTATAATTTGTATCAGAGCTAAATCGATCTCTATGGTTATGGTAATTTCCTTGTTAGATTAGAAGATATCTAATTCTAATAGGAAAAGGAAAGTGGCTAAGCAAAGTTGTGCAAACTACTATATATATGTAAGTCATTAATGATGTTGCATCTAAGAGTATTCAGATGCATCAGTTTGGCAAAGACAGAGGCTCAACACTTGAAAAAGCTGGATGATAGATCACGAGTACTTGTTCATTTAGGAACGGATCCAGGATCAAAGGCGTATTGGTTAGTTGATCCTAGAACCAAGAAAATAGTTGTGAGTAGGGATGTGATCTTTGATGAAAGCAAAGACTGAAAGTGGGGTGAGAAGGAAATTAGTAACAACACTGGAATTTCTGTAATCTGTTTTGGAGAACACAATTATAATAACTCAAGGGGAGATGACCATGATCTCGAAGAAGAAACAGAAGAGAAGGAGGAAGATAGTTCCGAAGAAGAGGTCACTGAGCATGAAATACAAGTTCCCAAAACCAAGACAGAGATGATACATCAAGGAGAAGAAGCTGAACAAGGACTAAGGAGATCAACAAGGCCAAGAGTAAGACCGAGTTATCTCGATGACTTTGTCACTTTCGCCAGGATTGATAGTGAACACCTATTGCTAGCTATAAACAAAGAGCCATGGGATTGCAATGACCAAAAGGCTGATATCTTAGCCAAGGCACTAGGAAGAAACAAGTTCAAGGAGATGAGAGATCTCATTGGAGTTCTAGGTGTGTCACAAAAGGATTTCAAGCTTAAGGGGGAGAATGTTGGAATAAGCTTGAAAGAAACTTGAAGTGCAATTTTCCTAATCCTAATCAAAGTGTGTTTTCTAGAAGGTTAGGATTAGAAAAAGAAATTTAGGAGTTATCTAAAAAGGAAAATTGTTTCTCTATTGGAATTAGGAGTTAGCTAATCCATTATCTATATAAGGAGTTAGCTAATCTTAGCGTGGTGGACCCATAACCTTTATTGGGTTTGAAAAGCCCATGTTCAACTCTCCAATTAGTATGATATTGTCCGCTCTGGGCCCAACTGGTAAAGCCCGTACGGATTTGGTTTTGGGCTCCTTCCCAAAATGCCTCATACTAATTGGAGTTGGACATTAATTATATACTAGACATTCTTAGTCTAATCTTCCGATGTGAGACTTTGGATTGATTTTCAACAATCTCCCCCTCAAGCCAAAGACCCTATAACTCTTGATCTTCAACCTACAGCGATACTTAGTATCATCTTGTACATCTTAATAGCAAAGTATCTTGAGGGTTTCTCTCCTACACCGAACATTCAGTCCAATCTCACTTCTTCAGGTCCACTTTTCCTTGACCAGACCTAGGCTTTGATACCATTTATTGGGCTTGAAAAGCCCATGTTCAACTCCCCAATTAGTATGATATTGTCCGCTCTGGGCCCAACTGGTAAAGTCCGCACGGATTTGGTTTTGAGCTCCTTCCCAAAATGCATCATACTAATTGGAGTTGGACATTAATTATATACTAGACATTCTTAATCTAATCTTCCGATGTGGGACTTTGGATTGATTTCCAACACAGCCCATTATTAGTTGATGTACTTTCAGATTAATTTACCAGTATGATATGATCTTGTTTGGTATTCTTTTTTTTTTTTAAATTTCAAAATGAAAGAGATTAAGGAAAGAAATCTTTTAGATGAATGGCATAGAAGGTAAGCGAAATTCCATCAAATGCAATGTGAAAACAATGGAAACAATGAACAATGAGAAAACAATGGATTAATTCTTCAAAGACCACAATAAATGTTCAAACAGTCAAACAAAATTCAAAAGTAAGCCATTTTCTCCTTCTAATCTTAAATACAATGGCATCAAGAGCAACATCCATTCTCCTCCTCTCTTTTACGCTATCTTGTGAGTTTTTTTTCGTCTTTATAGCTCTGTTTACGTAAATCTGAAAACTACACTAACTACAAAACATGTTTACATATGGTTAATCCTATCACTGATAAACGTGTAGGTGCAGCCATGTTGCTTGTAGCGAATGTATCAAATGCAGAGAGACCTCTCAATTTGCCACCATTATGCGGATCGAAAAATGATTGCGAATTCATATGGTGTCCTCATGGAAGAGGAGGACAAGGAGAGTGTATAGGGTGGAGGTGTGACGGAACAGAAGACTGTAGGAAGATTGTTCGTTGCGATGGAACACCAGGGCCTTACTGTATGGAAGGAACATGCACTTGTTAAAGGAGAACGTATGGTTTTAATGGAATAAGATAGTTTTTGGGTAATCCTGTTTTCTGGACATTTAGTGCATGTATAAAAACAATAACATCAAAACTCTCGTTGCAAGAGAGGTTTCAATTTTATGAACACTTGAGTTTATGGTCACGTCGGTACAACATGTTTACTACTATATATGCTAGTCAGGATGCTAGTACAATTTGTTTAAGGTTTTATATTTTGAGAAATTTTCATTTTTGTGGGAAAAAGCTTATATATTTTAATATTTTCTAACTACGATCTTTTTCTGATAACCCACTTGTGGTGATGCACTAACCTTATAATTTGTGTTTGACCAATGCAAAAATAATCAAAATTTAAGTATCAGCAATATTGTTTTATTAACATATAAATATTTACTAATATTTTTATAATTTATTAAGTAAATACTCTCTCTATTTCACAAAGAATGTCATTCTGACTCATTCACATAGATTTAATTTTTTTTATAAAATGTACAAATACCCCTAATTAATACTAATAATTTAAATTTAAAGCTTATAATTTTTAAATGATATATAAAACTAGAATTAAGTGTAAAAAGTTTCATTGGAAATGTAGAATGACATTTTTTGTAACAAAAAAAATCTAAAATGACATTTTTCATGAAACAGATGGAGAGGGAATACATTTTTGTGTCAACAAAATAAAACCTTATCAGGTATACATGGTATAATATCAAATCAAATTTGTATTTTCAAAATTTATGAATGGATTATGGATATAACAAATATGGTTAAAAATCAACCCAACAAAATAAAAAATCATCCTGTTTTTGACTAAATCAACAATAAGGAGATCCGATCTTCGCAGATGGGGTGATGTATGTGCTTTTCCCCGGTCCTGAATCCTGACTTAATCAAGCACACGTCTTCAAGGATTGCTCTGTTTTTTATTTATTATCCTTTTCATAAAGTGCTCTGTTTTCCAGCTTTCATTAAGAACTGCTTTCCCAAAAAGTTGTAATTTTTTTTTGTAGATTAATAAGTATTACATTTCTATTTTGTTTAGATTATAACTATTACATTTCATCAAAAACTAAAC